GGGAAGGTCACTGTCTCTCTCTGTATTACAGCGCTTACACTGGGAAGGTCACTGTCTCTCTCTATTACAGTGTTTACACTGGGAAGGACACTGTCTTTCTGTATTACAGTGTTTACACTGGGAAGGTCACTGTCTGTCTCTATTACAGTGTTTACACTGGGAAGGACACTGTCTTTCTCTATTACAGTGCTTATTCTGGGAAGGTCACTATCTCTCTGCATCACAGTGCTCACACTGGGAAGGTCAGTGTCTCTCTGTATTACAGTGTTTACACTGGGAAGGTCAGTGTCTCTCTGTATTACAGTGCTTACACTGGGAAGGTCACTGTCTCTCTCTGTATCACAGCGATTACACTGAGAATGTCACTGATCACACCGTCTGTCTCTATTACAGCGATTGCACTGGCCATTGGGAGAGACGGTGCGAGTGGAGGGGTGGTGTACCTCACAACGATCACAGAGAAAGGCACTGAGCACAAAATCATTCCTGGCAATGAGCTGCCTCAATTCCACGATGAATGAAACTATGTATCTGCCATTCCTCAATAAAGTTCTTCTGCACTCTAAGCCCAGCATCCTCATTCATTGGAACAGGAATAGGATATTCAGCCCATTGAGCTTGCTCTGCACTCAGGTCACCACACTATCGAAAGGACATGATTGCATTGTAGAGGGTGCAGAGAAGATTCCCGCGGATATTGCCTGGGATGGAAAGTCACATTGTGAAGAGAGACTGGATAGGTTGGATTTGTTTACCCTGGAGCAGAGGAGGCTGAGGGGGAATCTGACTGAGGCACACAAAATTATGACAGGAAGAGACAGAGGAGATTGTGAAAATCGCTTCCCCATGGCATGCCAAAACTAGAGGGCATAAATTGAACCTGACGAGTAAGCAGTTTCAAAGGGATGTGAGAAAATTGTTTTTACCAGAGGGTGGCAGAAATATGGAAAGTTCAGCCTGAGAGAGTTTTGGAGACAGAGGTTCTCTTGTAACATTTAACAAGTATCTAGATGAGTACTTAAAATGCCAGGTCCTAGTATGCTATGGACCAACTGCAGGTAAATGGGATTATTACAGTTTGGTGTTTGTCGATTGGAATTCAGAGTCATAAAGTTGTAAAGCACAGAAACAGACCCTTTGCTTCAACTTATCCATGCCGACCAGATATCCTAAATTTATCTTGTCCCATTTGCCAGCATTTGGCCCATATCCCTCTAAACCCATCCTATTCATGTACCCATTCAGATGCCTTTTTAAATGGTACAATTGTACCAGCCTCCACCACTTCCTCTGGCAGCTCATTCCATACATGCACCTACCCTGGGAAATAGACCTCAACTATTTACCCTATCCATGCCCCCTGTGATTTTATAAAACTTTATAAGGTCACCCCTCAGCCTCCAACGCTCCAGGGAAAAAAGCCCCAACCTATTCAGTATCTCCCTATAGCTCAAACCCTCCAAACCCAGGAACGTCCTTGTAAACATTTTCTGAACTCTTCCAAGTTTCACAACATCCTTCCTATAGCAGAGAGACTAGAATTAAACAGAGCATTCCATAAGTGGCCTAACCAATGTCCAACTCATTTGCTGACCATCTACTCCAATACTGTTTCCTCACCCTGTCCCCATATCCCATCACTTTATTGGTATTTAGACATTTTGTCTTGCGATTTGTTCATAGGAAGTGGGTGTCACTGGTTAAGCCAACATTTGTTGCCCATCCTTAATACCCTGGAGGAAGTGGAAGATGTTGGCAACATGGGAATGTCACTGGAATAATAATCCAGGGCCCGAGGCAAGTGTTCTGAAGACATGGGCTCGAACTGCACCACAGCAGAAAAATTCAATAAAAATCTGGAATTGAAAATTACTTCACATGAACTGTGTCAGAGAATCCAATCATTGCCATTAATTACAAAAACCCATCTGGTTCACTAATGTCCTTCAGAGAAGGAAATCTGCCAACCTTACCTGGCCTGGCCTAAATGTGACTCCAGACCCACAGCAATGGGGTTGACTCTCTGAAATGGCCTGGCAAGTCTCTGAACAAAAGCCATGTCGGACTCAAAGCGTTAATCCTGTTTCTTTCTCCACAAACACTGCCAGACCTTTGTTTGAGCAAACTACTCAGTTGGATCAATCTATTTGAAACAAAGCAAAAAAAAATCTGTTATTTTGATTTCTAACACACACAAGACTGAGCTTCCACAGCCATTTATGGGCAAGAACTCCAAATATTTACAACCCATTGCGTCAAAGTTCCCTTATCTCAGATCTAAGTAAGACATAATTTTTTCCTCCTTTATTCATTCACGAATTGAGGGTGTTGCTGACCAGGCAGCATTTATTGTCCATCCCTAATTGTGCAGAGGGCAGTTTTGAGTCAAGCACATTGCTGTGAGTCTGGAATCATGTGTAAGCCAGACCAGGTAAGGATGGCAGTTTCCTTCCCTAAAGGACATTGGTGAACCAGATGGGTTTTTCCGACAATCGACAATGGATTCATGGTCATCATTAGATTCTTAATTCCAGATATTTATGGAATTCAAATTCCACCAACTGCCAAGGCGGGTTTCAAACCCAGGTTCCCAGAATGTTATCTGGGTCTCTGGATTAACCGTCCAGCGATAATACCACAAGGCCATTACCTCCCATTGCAGCTCCTGGTTCTAGGTTCTCCATCCAGGGGAAACCTTCCCTACATTTACCCTGTCTGTCCTTTTAACTATTTTGTAGTAGCAATGAGATCACCTCTCATTCTTTGAAACTCTAGAGAACGGAGGCCTAATTTGCATCATCTCTCTTTACAGGACAGATCTATAGGAATAAGCCTGATAAAACTTTCGCTACACTCCCTTTGTGGCCAGAATATCCTTCCTGAAGTGAGGAGACCAGAACTGCAAGCAATACTTCAGGCACAGTGTAACCAAGTTCCTATACAAGTGAAGCAAGACTTCACTCCTCACTACACGGACAAGAACAATCATATGTTGCAAACTGACTCTTCGCTGAGATGGAAAACATTTACTGCAATGACTGGCAAAAGGCCACATTACTTCAAGCTGGAACACAATAAGTAATTCCTCCTCATTGGCCAATTAGCAATCAAATGGGACATTCTGGGGAAGGGGCAGGGGAGAAGGTCTCCTTGGATCACTTGCCAAAGAGCTAGGCCCTGATGGGTTGAATGGTCTTTGTGTGCTGCCCCATTTTATTATACTATTGAGAACTGCAGTTAGTCGTAAACAATTACCCACCCAGTTTGAGAAGGCAGGCAAAGGTTAATGAGGGGAGAGGGTCTTAGGGCCACAATCAGTTAGAAATGTGAATTGGATACAGATTAGGCCATTCAGCCCCTCAAGCCTTCTCGACCATTCGAAAAGATTGTGGTCAGTTATTCCTCTGGAGTCCAATCAGCCCATGTTTGTCTATCCATCTTCCCTGCCTCTGGGCATTAGGGTTACAAAGACCCACCACCCTCAAAGGGCAAGACTTCTGGGGGGTAGGGGTGTTCCAGACAGTGAGAGGGGCCACGAGGTTTAGGGTCATTATGGTTGAGGCATCAATGCTGCCAGTGGAACTCCAACACACAACTGTAACACATCTTCTATGTCCCACTCACTTTCTCAGATCTCTCCCACCCCCAACTCTCACAGATCACCCACGCTGAACTCTCATAGATCAGCCCCCCAACTCTCACTTATCACACCCCCCCCAGCTCTCACAGATCACACCCACCAACTCTCACAGATCACCCCCCAACTCTCACCGATCACACCCCCAACACTCAAAGATCACCACCCAACTCTCACAGATCACCCCCCCAACTCTCACAGATCCCCCCCCCCAACTCTCACAGATCACCCCCCAACTCTCACAGATCGCCCCAACTCTAACAGATCACCCCCCCAACTCTCACCGATCACACCCCCAACACTCAAAGATCACCACCCAACTCTCACAGATCACCCCCCCAACTCTCACAGATCCCCCCCCCCAACTCTCACAGATCACCCCCCAACTCTCACAGATCGCCC